TGGGAATTCAGATCAGTCCAGGCAGCCCGGGGCCTCCTGGGAAATACAAGCACAGTTATTGCTTGCCCAGTGTGTGATCCAAAGGAATTAAAATGATGCTTGGCAGTTAAGACCACGTGTTGCTCTTCCCAGTCACCCACAGCTGCCTCCTCTGTCCTCATGTGACACACGCACAGGACACCTATGAGAAGGCCTGCGTTTGAACTGCACAGCCAAAGACCTGGATTCTGTGGGCCAGCTGGTTCCCTTCCCTCTGCCTCAGAGAGAAGGGACAAAATAGAAGCTACCACACTAGGATGTCATCCACAGAGGCAACAGACCACACAAGAACCCTGACCAAGCTGAAAAAGAAGAGCCACACACCAGCTCCAAGATGAAAACCTGAAGGTGGCACTAACTGGCTGTGACCCTCACTGGCCACCGAGTCCCACCCTGACATCTCTGCTACTTGGTGTCCAGCAAGGACAAGCACAGTCTCTTCCTCCCTCATCCTCACCCCAAAGGCCCACCAGGTTGTTCCAGAGAGCTAACAGTGAGTGTGTGTGTGTGTGTGTGTGTGTGTGTGTGTGTGTGTGTGTGTGTGTGTAGCGCCACCTGCTGACCACAAAGCATGGATTTCCCAGCCCAGAGCCTGGGCTCACCAGGAGAGGAGGTTTTGATACCTGGGCTGGTGATATTTTGTTTGTGCTTTAATGCATAAAGCTTGCCTTAAAGTCAGAGTTTGGAGCTAGCCACTAGTTAGCCATAGAGGCCAGGCAGCGGTGGCTAGCTCTGCACTCTGGTCTTCTTCAGGCAAGCTTTATTTATTAAAGCATAAACAAAATATCACCACACCCTTCTATTCTGTGGATTCGCCACAGTGACAAGTTCAGGTGAGTCTTGAACCATCAAAGGGACCTTTACTTAGTCCTCCCCACACACAAAATGGGATTCAAGTGACACACACTTTTTACACGTCCATAGAGGACTATGGATCCGGTGGGGGACCACTCCCCCTTTACACCCACAACTCAGGAGCAGCAGCACCCTCAGTGTTTGCCATGCTGTCAAATGCCTGCGCCTGCTTTTCCTTAGGGTTCCATCTCCATTCACGGCGCTGCTGACCTGCTGACCTCTGCTATAGCCATTGTAGGTACCAGAACTACAGCTGCCAGTCCTAATCCTATCAAGTTGGAAACATTATGTCTTCTTCATGTTATTTGATGTTCTTATTGCTGTGATAAAATACCCTGGAAGCAGCAACTTCAGGGTTTATTCTGGCTCAAGGTCTGAGAGTGTAGTCCACCATGGCAAGGAAAGCATGCTGGGAACATGAGACAGCTGCTCACAGCTCCAGTCAGGACGCTGGCACTGGGCTCATTGGTTCACTGTCTCCTTCTCACCGTGTCTCGACCCTTGGCCTCTGTGACAGTGCTGAGCACATTCAGAAAGGGTCTTCTCCAACCTCTGAAGAGGTAAGGCTCACTGGAAATGCCCCCACAGACTACTCAGGGTGTGTCTCCTAAGTGATCCCAAATTCAGTCAAATTGATGGGCAACCACCACATTTTTCTGTGTCTGCTCTTTGTATGTGAGTTAAGTTTAAAAGGCAACACAAGTGGATTCTCAGGGATCTTCTCCTCAGAGTATCTTGGACATGCTTGTACCTCAGAGCCCACCACACATCCTGTCATCTGCACAGGAGTCTACTGTCCACATGGGGTGTGACTGAGGGACTTCTATGGGCCACCACTCAGGGAATATCCAGTTCCCATCACACATAGCACCACTGTGAACCTCTGCACAGCCCAGTTCAACAGACGTGCAGCTGTCACAACTAGGTTAAGGGATGCTACTGGCACCTGGCAGGTGGGGCTGATGGGTGATGCTCAGCACCCTACATGGCATAAATGACCAGCAGGGAACACATTTATGGCTTCAAAATGTGGCTGTCCAGTGCCCACACAGAAGCCTCTGTGTCCAACAGCTGTTCTTGGGGTGTGCGAGGCCCTTGGGGTAGACTCCAGAAGCAAAGCCTCTGGAGCAGAGTGTGTGAGCTTTTAAATTTGTACAGCTCTTTAGGCAAGCCAGGCCTAATTCAATCAGAGAGGTGAGCAAGCCTGAGTTTGGTCACAATTCTAGAAAGGCTGTGTCAACATATGGTGACTGAGCCCTAAAGAAACTCTCTGTACTAAGACCCAGGGAGGAGAGCTGTGTGGATGGTTCTCTACTGAGAAGCCCAAGCCACAGCAAACACCTCCCTCCCGAAATTCCTACTGTGAAGCCTGAGCCTTCATAGCCTTCCTGGGACAGTGGTTAAGATGGCTTTATGGGGTGCTAAGGTTCCTAGTGAAGGATTAGCACTTCATAAGACACACCACCTAGGAGCCAGGAGGCAGCCATCTCCCAACATGAGATCTTGGATTTTCAGGCAAGTCTATAACATTCTGCTACAGAGCCAGGCTATGGCAGCCTGGGTGAAGTTAGAGACCTGCCTCGTCATAGCTGGGAGCATTCTCGGAACATCCACCGTGTGTACAGGTGCTGCAGCTTGTGTGCATGAATAACTGCAATGTTGGGGTCTGTACAGGGACAAACTATGCAGGGAACTGGAAAAAGACCCCCAAAAGTTTTCTCTCTCACCCACTGTGGAGGCTTGAATGTAATGGGCCCCCATAAGCTCATAAGGAGTGGCAGTATTAGCAGGTTTGGCTTTGTTGGAGAGGGTATGACCTTGTTGGAGGAAGTGTGGTTTCCTAGGCTCAGGATACCACTCGGTGTGTCAGTCATCTTCCTGCTGTCTGCAAGACAAAGGACTCTCAGTTCCAGCAACATGTCTGCGTGCACACTGCCATGATCCCTGCCATGATACTAATGGACTGAACCTCTGGTCTGTGAGCCAGCCCCATGAAATGTTTTCCTTTATAAGAGTTGCTGTGGTCATGGTGTCTCTTCACAGCAATAGAAACCCAAACTAAGACACTCATCTTCCTTTGGAAACCCCTGAGATCTATGTTTCCACCCTCGTATATGAGTTCCCTGGGCCAGGCACAGGGGTGCTGTGACAGACAAGCCCATATATGGGCTCTAGTCATAGGTTGAAGACAGGAGAAAAGACAAACCCAAACATCTCCTTTAGATACATACTGAAATAGCTCCTTGTGGAATTTGTCTTGCATTACTGGAGGATCCTCTGAAGATTATGCCCTCCCTGAGGTTGACCACATACACCTAGAGTGACTCAGCCTGCGTGTGTATGCAGGGGTGTGTGCATGCAGGGGTGTGTGCATGCAGGGGTGTGTGCATGCAGGGGTGTGTGCGTTCAAAAGCCTATATTTGCTAGCATACATGCACAGAGCTCTGCATCCAAAAAAACATACAAACCCCGAGCCCATGAACCCCTTCACTACATTGTAGACATCACATCCCACCTGGAAGTCCAACTTTCAGGATATGACCACCACAGCAAATAGCTACAACACACAGTGTGGCCAGCAGATGGCCTATGCCCCAGCCACTCAGAAACCACGCCTGCCCCTAATGAGGCTTCCATTGTTTCCAAGCATTACGTTCTGAGGCAAGGGGTCTCCAGAAAACTTTCCTTCAAACATTCATACAGGGCATCAAGAGTGCACACATGTGACAGATACTGAGCCTTGACCTTCACTGATGGAGGACTGAACCTTGACCTTCACTGATGGAGGACTGAACCTTGACCCTCACTGATGGGAGGACTGAACCTTGACCCTCACTGATGGGAGGACTGAACCTTGACACCTTCTGATGGGAGACTGAACCTTGACCCTCACTGATGGGAGGATTGAACCTTGACCCCTATTGATGGGAGACTGAACCTTGACCCTCACTGATGGGAGGATTGAATCTTGACCCCTATTGATGGGAGACTGAACCTTGACCCTCACTGATGGGAGGATTGAACCTTGACACCTTCTGATGGGAGACTGAAACTTGACCCCTGCTGATGAGAGGACTGAACTTTGACCCAACCTGAAGGGAGAAGGGTGGGAGATACACGTCACAGGTCCACCTGCAGCCCCCACTTCCCTGTTTCTGCAGCACCCAGCGGCTGAGATGGTGAGAATGGGTCTCAAGTTAGGAGGCTATTGATAGAGTCCAGTCATCCCATTTAACCTTGTCTTCAACTCAGCAAGGAAGAGCGGTCTCCTGGGAAGTCCCCACTGAGAACTCCCGTCCTCCCCAAGGCAACACTCATATATTTTTCTTTCTTTTTAATTTTTTTTATTTTTGGATGGGGGAAGTGGTGCTGAATTCATCTTCCAAATATTTAATTTTAAAAACATGTATCTTTGAAGAGTCATGGTCACACTTAAGTATATGACAGCAGCTGTTTGCACTTGGCTTTTAGGAAACAAGGACCCTAGGTTATACATCCTGATAGTGACTCCTGGGCTCCCTTCACAAGCAGCAGAGAATTCTGCCTCCCCCTGGAGAATACAGAGACACAAACACAGACTCAGAAACCCTGTGAAAACCCTGTCTTGTGTAAGTCCATCTGTCTGTCTGTTCACATCACTCCGGATGGAGCAGCTATTGGAGGTCAGTCAATTACTTTGTCTTCTCGCCTTCCCTTTTTCATCTAGTTTTAACATCAGAACGCACAATGTTGGCCATGTGCACACTACCTCCACGCCTTTGTCCAGGTCATGAATGTACACTGGCCATGTGTACACCACCTCCATGCCTTTGGCCAGATCATGCTTGGGGTGCTATGTCAAGTTCATTCATGGCCCACTTGTATGCATTGCCAACATTCATTGGAACAAGCATCCAACCTTCCAGAGACAATTCACTCAGTGTCTTTAAAGTCCTTCTGGACCTTGTACCCCCCCCTCCCAGGGAATGGTCCACTTTCCAAAGTAAAGCAGCCCCCCTTCTCTTCAGTACAGGCCCTCTACTTTGCCCCTTCCTAGCCAATGGCCAGCAGAAAAGCACCAGCCTCCATGTGCCTGGTGTCCCTCCCCTGACCGTTGCCCTCCTCACCGGAGATGATGGAGTCGTTGAGTGCCTCCTCATCCTGATACAGAAGCAGGTCATCCTTGAGCTCAGAGCTCAGCATCAGATTCTCCTTGTTCTCCTCCGAGTCCTTGGCGGCAGTCCGCTTGTTCTCTGAGGCCCCATCAAAGCTCCACATCTCCTCCCTCTCCTTGCCCCGCTCCATGCTGGACGTCCTTGACAGACGCACGTCCATGCGTTTCTTTGGAGACCCTCTGCATTCCCGTCCTTGAAAACTGAATGGGAAAGATGGCTCGTGTTACATTTTGCTGGAAACTCACAAGAATCAATGCAGAACCCAGTGAACACTCCAGTGGCAGTGGCCCCAAATGATTTCTCAGTCCTGGGCACCTATTGCAGGGAGATGAAAAAGCAATCTGGGGCTTTGAGCCTATAGTACTTGGTCTGCATTGTGCCCTGTCCAAAAAGAGGACATGTGTTAAACCCTGATAATGTGCAGTTCAACCATTCAGACAAAGGGCTTCAGAGACCCAAGAAAGACATTGTGTTCCTCCAGTGTGCCACCAAATTAGTGTGTGGCTTATGGACTAGCTCTCCTTTAGCAAGCCTCTTTCCTTCACACCAGCCATAAGCCATCAAATCAACTGAGCTGTGGCCACAGGGCAGTTGTATTCTCATGGTTAGATCCTTGGGGCCTTCAGAGTCCTCAGCAAACAACAGCCCCTTCTGACTATTCCCTCCCAGGAAGCCCCTAACTTCCCCGCTGAGGGATCATACAAGGAGTCTCCTGGTTTGTTTTCCATGTACTCTGTCCTCTAAGAAAATCAAGAAGGTTCCAGTGGAACAAGAAACCCAGCCCAGGCTCTGGGTGACTAGGAATGGTACTCACAGGGCTGGTCCCCATGGGTATCACAAGTGTGCAGGATCACAGCCTCACCTGTCCTGACGGTGCTTTGTGGCCAGTGCCCTATGGAGCTCCTCAATCACACGGCTGGGGGGCAGTGGCCGATGGACAGTGGTGAGATGAGGGGATCCTGTGGGAGTGGCAAGCTGTCCTCGGAGAGCCGGCTCATTGCTCTTCATGCTGGGGCCTTGGAAGAGTGCAGCTTGCCCTGGGGTGGAGCAGAAATGTACACAAGCATCACCTTCCACATAGGGACCAAACCCTGAAGAAGATGTAAGGTGTACTCCTAATGCCCTGCCAGGCCACCTGACCTACATGGAGGCTCCAGTCCAGACTCTATTCCCAGGGAAGAGACCAGGACATGACTGCCCAAGGCCCTGCATCTACAGGGCCATTCTGATGGGAGCCAATGTCATTCTGCAAGGTCTGGGGGAACATCACTCCTTCCCTCATCCCTTTGAGGTGCTGTCTTCCCAGACCTGTTATTTGTTACATGGGAATCATAAATACTTGCAGATCTCTGCAGCCACTCTCCCTTCTACCTCCGCCCTTTAAACACCATCTGTTCCCATTGACTTCCAACCCTATCCCTGCACATCAGCCCTTAGGGCTCCTTCTGGACTATGAATCTTGTCCATCTTTCTCATATTCCTTTTGATTTAGACTCACGAGCTCAGTCCCAAAGACCCTTGGGCTGCTCTTCTCAGCCTCCTGGTATCATCTTTCTGATCACACGCCACTTTCTTCAGTGTACCCCATGGAGATCCTTCTAATCCCTGGAGCCCCATGCTGCCCAACTCTGAGCCCTTGAAGGCTCTCAACCTCCACCCCTTCCTCACTGAGACCTTCTGAGTCTTGCCTGTTTAGAGCCGCAAGGACCAGTCCAGGAGGACCATCCCACCTTGTCCTTCCTCTCAGTCATGTGGGAGAGGCTGAGGCACAAAAGTGCCTCAAAAGTGTTTAGGCATCTCCACAAAAGTGTTGAGCAGTGCCTGTGTGGGCAGACAGGGTAGGGCTTCAGTTCCTCCTGGGGACAGTTCTTGCTTGAGACACTGATCACGCCCTGAACACCCCCAGGGATTCTGTGTTCCCAGACCCGTTTGGTCAGCATTGCCTCCAGTCCTTACCAGAAATGTGTACAGACAGACAGAAGGAAGTATCCTGCTTATATTTACATGGCAGCCAGGCTGGGGCTGGGATCTCACCAAAGGTCTCTATACCACAGTGGGTCACAATACAGAAACAAAGACCAACCCACAGGAGGCACAACAAGCCAGCACCCTTCAGCATTTCTGAGGAGCATGGTAGTCCACCAGCAGACTCACGTGCCCAGCACACCTCTTCCTACTGCCATTTCTGAAAGGGAACACTGAGGCTCAAAGATGGCACAGGGGTGTTTCCAGGAGGCGCTTGCTCCAGCTGCACTAGGGAGAGACTGTGGGACCCTGACGTAGAGTGGGCTATCAAAACAGGACAAGGCCAGGAGAGAATTTGAGCTAAGTAGCCTCTAGAGGCCAGGCAGAGGGCATGCAGGGAGCTCCAGGCCTCTGGAGTCACAGGACAGGGAGGAACAGTGACAGGGTTATATAAGCCCACTTTGACCCTCCCCAGGGCTTCCATGGAGGAGGCTCATACCAAACACTCACAAACAGGATCGGCATGGCTGGGAAGATGGTTCATTTGGTAGAGTAGTTGTCTTCTGAGCGCAGGGGCCTGAATTCAACTCCCCAGAATGTTGCAGAATATTTGTTTAATGATGTAAAGATATATTGAATTCGTTTAGCTATGTAAAGATGCATTGCATTTATTTAATTATATAAAGATGTGTTGCTGTTTCACCTTGCCTGCCAAAGGCACCTGACTGATCTCATAAAAAGCTGAACGGCCAATAGAGAGGCAGGAGGTATAGGTGGGACTTGGGCAGAGAGAATAAATAGGAGAAGGAATTTAGCTTGAAGGGAAGAGTGAGAAAGAAACGCCAGGGAGACACCAGGGGCCAGACAGACAGGCATGGAGAAAACAGGAAAGTAGGACATACAGAATGAAAGAAAGATAAAAAGCCCCAAAGCAAAACATAGATGAATAGAAAGAGGTTAAATTGAGTTACAAGAGCTAGTGGGACAAGCCTAAGGACAAGCATTCATAATTAATAATAAGTTCCCATGTCTTTATTTTGGGAGCTGCTTGATGGTCCAAAGAAAACTCCAGCTACACCTGAACCCATGTTCTTTGTCTGTTTTTGGTTTTGTTCTGTTAAGGAAAAGATGCAGCTGTGATGGATAGTGAGTGCTTGTTGTGCCAGCACTGGTGAGAAGGATAATGGATAGTGTGTGCTTATCGTACCATCCCTGGTGAGAGGGGTATGTGTGTGGTGGGGAGATCCTTGGGGCTTGATGGCCAACAAGTCAGCCTAACCTAATTGGCAAGTTCATGGAAAATAAGAGACTGTCTCTTATTCTCCTCTTCTGCCCCGGGCTTCCACATTCATGTAGTTACATGAACACACATATGACACATATGTGCAGGACCAGAAATATACACTACAAAACCAAACACAGGCCCTTAACAGACTTCAAACAGGGTAGTAGTGGCCCAGTCCAGAACTATGGCCCCCCAGGACTGAGAAATAAACCTATCGCTGACAGGGTATTTTGCCACAGTAACTCAAGGAAATAAAGACAGCGGGGTCCTGGTGTCAGGCTAGGATGTGCCTCACCCGTGTCCCCAGAGCACAAAGACAGGAGCTTTGCTTCTCTGCTATCGCCTAGTGCTCCTGTGTGGAAAGGAAAAGACTGACAACAAAGACAGAGCCACCTGAATGTGGTCTCAAAGGCAGATTCCAAACACAAGTCCTGCGCTTATCCAGACACAAGTCACCTTCCTGTTCAGTCCAACCAATGACATCAAAATACAATTGCCTGCTGCGAGTTCCTTCCACTGAGAAAGGGTGAAATGAGAAGTGTTGCTGTAGGCTGTAGATAGGCTGTAGGCAGATCCTGGGACCCAGACGGTGTGCACACATGAGGGTAAAGGTGGGGGAAGTGTTCACACTCTGAGGTAGGAGTCTCTCAAACAATGGAAACAAAGTCCGCAGACTATCATAGCCCATTTTGTGCTTTCTGTGGGGGAAAGGCAGGCATTTACTGTTCAACCAAGTGATTTTTGAAGTGCTTCAGATGTCAATACTTGGAGAGCAGGAATTACCACAAATGTGGAAACCAAATTCTAAGTAGTATTGTTTTGCCTCAACTTTCTCTCTGTGTGGTCATGACAGGCAGCAACTGAATTTTTTACTCATTTGCAGCCTCATAGACAGCACAGTTCTGGGTACTCATTTACTCAGTACCTCATTCAGTTACACAGCTGCCTGCATCTGCTTGGCACCTGCTGTATGCCAGGCACAATGGCTGCACCTCTATCTGATTGTAAATGCAGAGACCGAGTCCCCCTGGGCACATCTCCGTGCAGGGCTTGTGCCAACACACTAGGAGGCTTAAAATAACAGCATGGTTCCCTCTGTTCTGGAGGCCAGACATCTAAAATCAAGGGGAGATCAGGGTGACCTCCACTGAAGCCTTAAGTAGGGACTATTAGGATTAGGGCTAGGATTAGGGTTACCCCACAGAGCCCCATCACCCTGCTTGTGCCACCAGTGACATCCTAGGTTGTCAAACACTCTTCTGGGAAATCCAGGAGGAACCAAGGTCTATGTGGTGGTTTGAATGGGAACGGACCCAATGGGCTCATGTATTTGTATGCTTGATTTCCAGTTAGTGAAACTGTGTGGAGGAGCAGGAGGTGTGGTCTTGCTGAAGTGGGTGTGGTCTTATTGGAGGGAATGTGTCTCTGGGGGTGGGCTTTGAGGTTTCAAAAGCCCAGAGCAGGTTCAGTGTCTTTCTCCCGGCTCGCCTGTGGATTGGAGTGCAAGTACCCAGCTGTCTGCCTACATGCCGCCCGTGCTTCCTGCCACCATGATCAGGGACTAACCTTCGGAAACTGAAAGCAAGGCCCAGTTACAGACTTTGTAAGCCTTGCTGTGGTCGTGGTCTTTTACACAGCAACAGCACAGTAATGAAGACAGTATGAAGAGCAGGACCTGGAGGGAGGCCCAGCCATGTTTGCAGATGACAGAGCAGAGTTTGAGTCCCTGTCAGCTTCAGGATCTAGGACAAGTTATATCCTCTAAATCTTTAGTGTTCTAAACTGTGCACAGAACGCTTGCCCCTCCTCACGCAGGACTCAGCCTACTGAGGATGTTTGTCCACAGGGTAAGTGGCTTCACCGAGCTGGACCAGCTTGCCAGTGTCTTTTTGTTCCCACTGCTTCCACGGGGAGCATGTAGGAATGTTCTCTCTCTCCCTCCTCTCCTCTCTCTCTCTCTTTCTCTCTCTCTCTCCGTGTGTGTATGTGTGTGTGTGTGTGTGGTGTGTGTGTGTGTGTGTGGTGTGTGGTGTGTGTGTGTGTGTGTGTGTGTGGTGTGTGTGTGTCTTGGTGTGTGAGTGTGTGTACACGTGTGTGTACGTGTGTGTGTGTGTACACGTGTGTGTGTGTGTGTGTGTGTGTGCGTATGGTGTGTGTGTGTGTGTGTGTGTACGCACGCATGTATCTTGTCTCCCTTGGGTCTGAGATGAGTAAATGCTGACCTCCTGCAGTTAGTCCCCCTGTAAAGTCAGAGCTGCAGGGGAAGATGACACAGGACTATGTGACAAAGGGACTTCTGCCTAAGTGTGCTGTCACATGAAGTGCCAGAGCCAACCCAGGCTCTGTCCCATGTGCCCACAGAGCCATGGTGAAGGAGGGAATGAGATACTCTCAGGGAGCTGAAGAAACAATACAGGCAGCAGAGATGGCCCCATCCTGAGGTCTGGATGCATGCCCTGGGTTTGGATTCTAGAAGGTTCCTCTATGACTGGTACAGGACGCTTGCATCTGTTTGAAGGGAGCCCAAGCAGTCTGTACTCAACAACCAGGGCTTGTAGGAACACTTTCTGTCACCTGCTGAGCCCAGGCACAAGCAAAGGTGAGAGTCAGCCTGGAGCTGGAGCCAGGCAAGATGGGCTGAAGACACAGACAGAGGGGAGGATGATGGGTAGGAGTGCAGAGACGGGGAAGGACATGCAGACCCACCTGTGACAGTTTTTGTGGCTTTACAGCTGGCCTTGGGTGGTGGAGTGGGCAGCAGTGGAGGGCTAGGAAGCTGGCTTGCAGATCTCTCCAGGGGTCTGGGAGGACTGTCCGGGGAGTCAGACCCAGCTAAGGCTTGAGAGAGCTCATCAGAGGTGGGCAGGATGCTGCCATCATCTGCCCCTTCTGCACTGGACGCAGTTGGTGTCTTGGCTGGTTCAAAGGCAAAAACAGAGTATTTAGAGGAGGCTGCCATACCTGGCTGGGAGAAAGCAAGACCTAGTGGCAGTAGTCTTGATGGACAGGAGACACACTGAGATCCCTCCATGTGTGAACTTGTCTGGGCATTCAGTTGTAGGGAGAAACCCTGATTAGATGTACCGCTGACCACACCCACTTGGGAGTGGTCACAGGTACGTAACAAGGGTTTAAGGAGGGGGGTGAGCATTCGGCTCTCTTTCGCCTGGCTGAGCTGTCTGGGAAGCATTTCTGGGTCCACCCTATTCAGGTGCAAACCTGGTCACTGGCTCCCTTGTGTGATTATTTTTCCCCAATGAACTACCATTTATCAACCTAGCTCTGACTCCACTTTGTAATAATCTATGTCTGGTGTCAGAAGATTTGGGACTGAATTTGAACCCACAGGTGGGTCGTGACCTAGGGAACTAATTTTAACCCATCTCTGACTCCACCTTATAATCATCTATAGTCAGTGAACAAGAAGACAGCATGAGAAACAGAGGGAGTCAGGGAGTCATCTCAAGCACAGGTGACCATGTGCTCCCCACGCAGCAAGGTTGGGCTGCTCACACGTATAAGCATGCCACCTCGGCAGATGTTACAGTTAGAGAAGTGAGTGGAAGCTGGATGCTCCTTACCCTTGGGCTGGCTTGGTACTAAAACTCTGTGCTCTTCTGCTTACTAGCAGTGACTGCATCGGCGGAGACAGCTCCAGGCAGGATTAGTTCGAGGTTTAAAGAAAGGGGGCAGATGAAGCAATGGGTGCTCGTGCACACCTATTGTGCCCGGGGATCCTAAATTGGGAGCCAGGCTAGACTCTACCATGAAACTGTGTCTCAAGATCAAGAGAAACAAGTTTCAAGAAAAGGCAGGGGTGACATCTATGTGAATGCCTGATGCATGGCGACCTCACACAACTCTAGGTGAAGCCGTGGAGGCAGGGAGGGTGGGACCTCCAGGGACGGTCAGCCAGTCGGAGTCCTTGTCCTCTCTCCAGTTGCTCATCCAGGCCCTTCCTCCTCTGTGAGCTCCCACTGATCACCCTATTTTCACACTACCGTCTCCCTCTTGCCATTCTTTAGAACCAGTCCAGACCACTCTGACCAGATTCCTACTGGCTGTGCTCTGAGGAAGGCCCTTCTCTACCTCTCTGGATGAAGCCGTGGTTCAGTACTGCCCTCCTCTCAACCACCACCACCACAGCAGGACCCAACCTGGGTCTCTCCTTCAGGTGACTGCATCCAGCACCCGCTATCCAGTCCTATCTCCAACTGCTGACATGGTCCCTCCACCCTGTCACACAGATTTGCAACAGAAATAGAGGCCACCAGACATGAAACTGCTCAATTTCCTCATCAAACACACCTATTATCCTTCCCCTTCAAGGTAGCCATCTCCCTTCATCACAAATGGATAGTCCCTCACTTTCTGCTCTGCCAGCACAAACCCAAGGTACCAAGCCTTCTGGAAGGCACTTACTGAAAACACACACACACACACACACACACACACACACACACACACACACACACCTGCCCCAAGGGGCAGGGCTGTTCCCTGCTGCCTGGGATCCAGTCAACCCTGTTTGCAGGACCTAGATGCTGTCCATGGTGCTGAAGGACCCTCCCTGCTTTGAGAGCATCCAGGGAAACCCTCTGGGCTTTTATGACTGCCCAAGCATGTGAGAGCCACAGAAGTTTCCCGTGTAAGCAATACACCAGTTCTTTGAGTTAATGGGGATGTAGCTTTTGCTTCCAGGGATGGCTGTCCCAACTCCTAGGAGCAGCATCTCAGAAGGCCTTGCAGATCTGAGAGCTCTGTGTCACCAGGGTGTCAGAGTGGCCAGAACCTGCACCATAAGGTCTGTATTCTTGCCCTGTGTGGATGCGTGTGAACACGCTATTTTTGTTTTCTCATGACTTAAGCAGTCCCTAGGAGTGTCAACTGCTAAATGCAGTTTTTTTTTTCTTTTAGAGGACATTGGACTCCAGAACAATCATTCTACTCCATTAACTATAATGTGTGGCACCTAAAGTCTCCACCTTTCATTGTGCCATTTATTTTTTGCCCTGATACTGTTAAAAAAAATTCTGTGTGTTTTGAGGTAAAAATGGTTGTGAGATCTAGGTGTGTGGTTATATATTGTTTATGATCTAATAAAGCCACTGAAAATCAGAATGCAAAGCTAGCTACAGCCATATAAACTGGACAGTGGTGGCCACACCTTTAATCCCAGCACTAGAGAGGTGTCTGAGACAGGAGCAGGTCATTCAGTACTCAGTCTTGGGCAATTAGTTTCCAGCCATGTTGAGGTCATGATCACCTCAGCCCTGGTAGAGGTAAGAGATCTCTGGCAGTTTGGCTGCTTTGCTTTTCTGATCTTCAGTTTGATCCCTAATATCTCTCTCTGGATTTACATTATTCATGCTACAAAGGTGAGAATGGAGATGGTCCATCTCCAATACACACGGGTCCTGTGGCTTCTTCTGCATCAGGTAAATCAGCACAGGGTGGTAGAGGCTCTGGCCCAGAGCCAATGCTGTCACGGCCAAGCTCACAGCCATGGTCATCAGGCTCTGGGACACACATCTACACTGCCTGTCCTCACAGTCATGTATGAGACGATACTGAGCATCTGCACAGGGCTGTATGTCTGCTCTGGCTGGCTTAGCATAACGTCCTGTCCTGGTTGCTTTTGGGTAAGCATGTTCTATAGGGAACAGCTCTCAGCATGCTTCCAAGGTCATGATTTTGGGAGAAAGAGTCTCAGCATAGCTTCCAGATAATTAATTGCTCTCTAACCTCTATAAGCCCTGGTTTCCCCATGGTCTACTAAGGAGGGAGGCATGAGGAGGCACTAGAGGTGCCTGGGGACATGAAGCACTTGTCTGGCCTGGTCACTGGAGGCTCCACTCGGAGAGGTAAGGGCTATGCTTTGGCAGGTAGATGGGTCTCCTCTGCCAAGGAAGGGGTCTTTTCCTTGATACACCATTGCAGTGGGCAACCAGGCTGAGCTCCATAGCTCCTCCATGGCTCTGATGTACTCTTCCTGGAATGGGATTCAGTCCTGCACAGTGGGAACACAGACAGGTTAGATGCATCTGGGACCTAGTTATTTTCCAGGAAGTTGGATGCAGCATCCTGACTGAACTCCCTGCATCTGTCTGGGGGCATTGCCACTGGAAAGGTCAACATGGAGCTAGGACAACCTTGGCTTAGGGCTCTCCTGCTGATTGAGCCAGTGGGGCCTGTTGCTGGAGTTTCTCGTCCACCAGTTTGGTCCCACAAGCACTTTGGCCCCAAATAAGCACACAGAGAGTTATATTAGTTATAAAACTGTTGGCCAATGGCTGGGGCTTCTTATTGGCTAGATCTGTCTTAATTATTAACCCCAATCTATAATTCTATGTATTTCCACGTGGTCTTGGCTTACCGGAAAATGCAGCTACCTGGCATCTCCTCATGGTCTCTCTCCACCTCTCTTCCCAGCATTCTCCTTGTCTCCTAGCCCCACCTATCTTCCTGCCTCAATTGGCCAAGCAGTGTTTTATTCATCAACCAGTAAGAGAATCATATATACAGAAGGCCATCCCCCATCAGGGGTCAGTGCAGATCTGTCTGCTGTGCTGGAGCTCTATGTGAGAGCTGGCTGAAAAACCCTGACTTGGGACAGTCTCACAGCCCTGTCACCTATGGAGAGATCTTATCCTGTCTGTGTCTGTCTGTCTGTCTGCCTGTCTGTCTGTCTGCCTGCCTGCCTGCCTGCCTCTCCATTTCAGTTGCATGCCATAGGGAAAGCAATCCAAACATTCCTGAGCATGTATGTTGGCATCTCTACCTCACTTTAACTGCAGACCTGCAGTTCCAGCTATTCTGGAGGCTGAAGCACGGGGATCACAAGTTCAAAGCCAGCCCAGGTAACTTGTCAAGACCCTGTCTCAAAGCCAAAAGTGAAAGAGGGCTAGGAATATAGCTCGATGGTAGAACACCTGCATAGTATGTGTATAGTCCTGAGTCTGATCTCCAGTACCACAAAGATAAATGAATTAACTAATCCAAATTAACTCATTAAGCACGGCCACCCAAGCTCCGCCCCAGCACTCTGACACCATTCTCTCTTCTACCAGGAAGTCCTTTCCATTCCCTCATCATGGCTGCCCTGCTAAGTCAGTCACCAACCTCTAATTCTCCCCTTGGCTTTTGGGCCACACACTTGCCTGCTGCTCTGGCCACACTTGCTTGTTCAGTGTTCCTTGTGGGCTCTGTTCCCTGTGCCTACCCCTTACTGCACCATCAGCTCTCGCCTGGGTCTTCCTCCACAGATACCCTCTGGCTAGTCATTCCTATCCCCGGTCCTCTGGCCTTAGCATCCAGTCAGTGTCTCATCTGATGAATCTGAGATTCTCCGCCTCCCCAGAGTGTCAAACAGGCTGGGGCCCACATATATCCTTACCCAACTCTTCTTGTTTTTTCCATACAGAAACTGAACCCAGAGCCTTGATGTGCTAAGCAAGGGAAGGCTTGTACCTGGTGCCTTTTTCTTTCTCCCGTGTGCATGTTGCATGGACACACAAATGCATGCATGGGGCTGGCAGAGCTTGACATCATGTCTTCCTCCTTTGCTCTCCATCTCCCATTGCACCCGCTGCTCACCACTTCAGCTAGGCTGGCCAGTAAGAGTCTCCAGGATCCAATCTCTGTCCCCCACAGCACTGGGGTTACAGTCACACACCGTACCCACTGAGCCACCTCCCCAGACTTCCTTTTGCATTTTATGTGGGGACAAGATGTCACTAAGTTGATTTAACTTGTAATCTCCTGCTTCAGCTTTCCCCAGTGGGCGAGATGACAGGCCTGCACCTCCAGGTCAGGCTCTGACCAAATGCTTGATTACTCGTGCAAGCCCTATGCCATCTTCCAATCCTGTCAACAATCCTGCTGAGTACCACCTGGCTCCAGGAGCTTTTCTACAG